ATTTCAAGGGACCAGGGAAAAAATTCGACTTAGGGAGGTTTCGACTTAGGGAGGTTTTGAAAACAGTGAAGAAAAAAAAATTTTGGAATGAAGTATTGGGGGAATGTGACTACAACTCTGGGAAAGGGCACATATTGATCCCTATATAAGTCAAAACAAGGTTAAAAGGCGATTCTTTCTCTTCTCTCCAAAGGAAAACTCTGAGAAATTTATCCCCAAGGATTACGGATTACAGATTAGGAATGCGCAGAAAGGAAGGGGTTATTTCATGTGTTGAGAGATTATTTCTTTCACTTTCTCTCATGCATTAGCCAAACCCAGGAAGGAATTCCAGGGACAGAAACTGTAGGATAAATAGTGCAGATTTTCATGATTTATCATCAGTTGGGTTGTGTCCTGGTGATGGAAAGGTGTTTTGGGAGATGGGTAGAAATCAGGCTGTGAATATTTAGGCACCAATTTTCTCACCTAATATATTCTTATTCATATTCTAGGTTTAGTTTTTTCTCAGTAGAATTCCATCATAGTCTCATGATTAAAGAGAATCAATTTTCCTTGCCAAAATTTCCAAAATTTATTCAAGTGTTCTTCATCTTGAAAAGTTTATCAGAATCACTCTCTCTCTCTCTCTCTCTCTCTCTCTGCATATGCACTTCATCTGCTGCTTTCCAGCAGCTGACCTTCTGCAATCCCGCATGTAAATTTTTTTTTAAAAAGTTTATCAGAATCACTCTCTCTCTCTGCATATGCACTTCATCTGCTGCTTTCCAGCAGCTGATCTTCTGCAATCCTGCATGTAAATTTTTTAAATTCATTCTGAAATTTGTTGCTGACCACTTTTCTTAGCTTTTTTCCACAGCTGTTGTAATTGTTATTTTTTCATTGATAGATATTTTTCAGCTCATGCCCTTTCCTTGACATGGTAAGGCAGTAGTCCACTTTCACTTATTCTGACAAAAGAAAAAGGTAGAGGAAGAGAAATTGAGACAAACATTTTTGGAAACAAAATTAAAATTCCTGTAGAAGCTATTTTCAATGAATTAGAGGGGCACAAAATGCAGGTAAATAAATCCAGTGCCCACCCCTTTGACTGCCTGCGCCAAAAAATCCTTTGACATGCAGCATGATTAAGGAAGTGCTGCAGATTTTATCTCCTTCAAAGAAAAAGGTAGAGGAAGAAAAATTGAGACAAAATTTTTTGGAAACAAAATTAAAATTCCTGTAGAAGCTATTTTCAATGAGTTAGAGGGGCACAAAATGCAGGTAAATAAATCCAGTGCCCACCCAAACTGCCTGCACCAAAAAATCCTTTGACCTGCAGCACCATTAAGGAAGTGCTGCAGATTTTATCTCCTTCTCCAATCTTTCTTCTTTCATCCCCAAGTCCTGTTCCCCAGCATGCTTCAATTTCTGGGACATTATTTTCAGTCCATAAAATATCTAAGAGGCAATGTGTTTTCTGCAATGGATATTTTTTTCTGGTCCCTTGAATTTTGTTGCAAGTGGAGATATGTCAGATATCCCACCTGGCCCTATTTCAAGTGGACATACAAGCCTGCAAATTGACCAGTATAAAGTTAATTTCAGCTGTTGTATGTAGCTTATCTGACTTATTCTCTGGGCTCATTATTCAAAGGACTTTGGAATTTATGTGAAGTGAAGTATTCTGCCCAAAGTTTGCTTTTCTTTGAACATTTCTCAGGGGGTATTTGTGTGGCCTTTCATACAAAGCTGTATCAAGCTTTGAAAACAATTTTTGTTTTGTCAGGTAATAATTATACAGTTGAACCTCCATACCTTGATCATTCCCAAAATGTTCACCTGCTTATAAGTTTCTTCAAATGCAGTGTAACCATGCAGATGCAATAAAAGTCAAATTGATCAAGGGTGCAATGTGCTGGAAATAGTTTTAAATAAAAAAAAAATGGGAGAAACATCAAACATCCTAATGATTTGAAAAAATTAACTCAAATAATATATGACGCAGTATTGAAGGCTCCAGCAGTTTTTTGGACATTTATTTGTGGAAACAGCAGTTTTGATGTATTGTTTCATTTTATAAAAATTTTTAACTTGATACCACTGACCTTGTCATCAAATTTTTTTTAGAGAAGTTCTGTCAGGTTGATGAGGAAAAAAGATTACTACCCTGCCTTTGCAATAGGCACTTTTTGGGAAGGAACTGCAACAATTTTTTTTTGTGAAACCAAAGACAATAGACTGACTTATGGTCCCATCAAGAAACCTATACCCAGGATGCCAGGAGCTGTCCCTGGGACTTTATTTTTTCATCCAAGGCATCTTCTCCTTTGTCACCCATTAGCCAACCTTTTTTTTTAAATGCGGGGCTTTGGATTTTCTGGGCACAAAGGTTGGTGGGCATCTATCCCAAGAACCAAAAATGCGGATTGTTGCTCTGGTGTGTTGAAAGAAAAAAAAGAAAAATCTACATCCTTGGGGTCCTGTTGAGTAGAAAACAGCCTGTTTCCTTTTTTTTAACAGTTCCGAAAAGTTGTACTGTGTGGGTGAATGCTGCAGCAGTAAAATGATCTGGTGCCCAGGCGCCGGAAACAGTGTCTCTTTGTTCAATGAATGGGGGAGGATGCTGCTTCAAATTGAAGCAGCTCTCCTCCCCCAAAACCCCTGCAATAAAAAAAAAATCTGGTGTCACCTTGTGTTTAAAAAATTCGACTTAGGGAGGTTTTCCATTCAAGTGTTTCGAGTTAGGGAGGTTTTTTCAACATTATTCTTTAAGGGATTGCAAGGGGGCTGGGGAAAAATTCGACTTAGGGAGGTTTTCGACTTAGGGAGGTTCGACTTATGGAGGTTGGACTGTAACAAGTGTTTCGAGTTAGGGAGGTTTTTTCAACATTATTCTTTAAGGGATTGCAAGGGGGCTGGGGAAAAATTCGACTTAGGGAGGTTTTCGACTTAGGGAGGTTCGACTTATGGAGGTTGGACTGTAATAGGTAGAAAACTTAAAAATCTGAATGGAATTCGAGACTTCTCTATACTTCAGCCCAAAACATATTTTACTCAGAGCATTCTCCCCGGAATAAAGTACAGTGTGCTGGCCAACAAACTTACAGTACAGCATTTTCCTCACAGCAAACGACGAATGGGAAATATTTTCAAGAAAAAAATTCCACCTTCGAAGAAGGTGAACTTTTGAGAAGAGCAAATTTAAATTTTCGTATACCAGAATGGTTCGGGTAATGATGGCCCAAAGTTCGGACATATTTTTCAAATGCATAGCCGAAACATCTAAGGCAGTCCACACACGAATCCGATTTGATATACAGCTGCATCGTCCCAAGCGTATGTGCCGAGTTGCGTAGAATATTTGAGGGCCAAAAAGTTACTTCCTGCTTCTCCACTGGGTTCTCCTGGGAACCAGAATTGCAGATCCCGTTGGCTATCCTTCAAACTGGGTTGTACTGTCCCTGGAAGAAGAAAAAGAGTATCAAGGTCATCCCCTGCTTGGTTGATGTTGGGGAACCAGAACTTGGGCCCAGGGAAATCAGGTCCCAGGACCTGGATTCTGGTCCCATTTTCCTTTGTGCATCAGTTCCCTGGATGCATGACTTCTTTGATACGAATTTTGTCTGCCAATCACAGGTGAGAAAAAAAATGTCCAATGCTTCAGTCAAGTCAGCTGACTGAAGCATTGTGCTAAATTGCATAAAAACCCAGCACTCTTTCACTCCCAACAATCAGTCCTTAAAATTAGCTTCAACAGTAAACTTCCCTCAAAACATCCCTTCACGGAAAAAGACACAACAAAACATGGAAAAAGAAACGAATTCATTGAGGTCATTCCCAGGGTTGATTCATGAACTCATTCAGGAATTTGGAACTCCTAAATACCAAGCCAGTTGTTCGAATCAAATTTTGGCGCCACCAAGTTTTTTTTTTTTTGGGTTTGTTTTAATTGCTCCAGAGTCGTGAAAATTAAAGTGCATGTAAAGGGAAGCATTCGATTGAGTAGAGAATTCGGTGGAACTGAACTGCTCATGATGAAGTCCTAGTGAGCACTGTGTGTCAGGATCTCATCATGACCTCTTGACCTTTTATTTTTAGGACAAATGAATGCAACCAACCGGACTTGAAAATGGTTTGTTAGCTTTTCCATCGGGTCATCCCATTAAGAGGAATCTTAGTTATGAAACGGAACGTCTTGTACACAATTGATGGACAGGAACGTTTTTATGACGGTTCTTTTTTTTTTTACAAACCTCCGCACATGGACCAAGAACCATTCAGTAGGTTGTTCCCACAAGCGTAAACAAACAAATCGGTCTTCTCTATGACCATTGACAAAGCATTGGTCAATGTGGGCAATCCGGTTGGGCCGTAGGTTGGTGCCAGAGTACCACCGTCGCGTTGACAGAACCACTCGGCGGACATCTTGCCTGTGGGGTTTCCAGTGGGATGCAAGGACATGCGGAACCAGCGTTTGGTGGACGGGATCTGGAAATAAGGGGGACTGGCTTCACACACGTAAGACTTGACCACAGTGGATGAGCAATCCATGGCGTTCCAAAACGGGGCTCCAGTATTAGTGTCTCTGTTGAGTGTGATACAATGAGAGGCAGTGACTGGATTTGGGATTGATGATGACGTGGACCAGGCCTGGTTGCGGTCATTGGCATTTGGCATCAGCTTCAACTCTCCGGAGTCTGTTGATGCCAGGAAAAAGAATGACAAGTACAGAGGCACCCTTATTATCAATGGGTTTCAACGCATGGATTATTTTTATGAATGGCATATACCTGCACTTTTTTGGTTTTGGCACAAACTGTATTTACTCAATTACGACACTTCATATAAGTATAACACCCCCCCCCCCATTTTCCCCCACAACGTATTTTAATGAAAACTTATCTCAAGTAAGATGAGCACCCTATTTTAGTGACTCTAAAAATGACAACATTTCTAAAATATGAGACTACAAAATCCAAATTTACACATGAATTCAAAATATGTTGAATTTAATATTTTAAAAAGTTCCCATCAACATTTTCAATTATTTTCAAATGTGACGCGCCCCTAAATTTCTAACCTTTTTTGGAAATCTTAACCCTGCTTTTGACAAGCACCTCCTACTTTCTTCTCAATTTTGAGAAAAAGGGCATGCAGTACTTCAGTAAATATGATTTTTAGGTGCATGTTGCTACCACGTTACCAGTACTGTTGTAAAGTAGGTCTCTTCATAGAAATTTATGATTTCCTAATTCCACATGATGAATCCAGTATCCTTCCTTATTCTTAAACAATTTTAGGCATTGTTTACAATGTTATGTAAAATTTAAAGAAACCTCAAGTCCAAAGGAAATTCACCCAAACTACTTCATGGACCTGAATTCTTCACTGCCAAAACCGAAATAGTCTTGAAGAAAATTAGACAATTTCAAAGTGGTTTCTAATTCAATACTGTACTCACATTCAACTACCAAGGTTCCTGCTGCAGTTCCTTTTCCAATAGTCCAGGCACTGGTCACTCCAACTGCTTGCATCAACTTGGCAATTTTTTCTGCTCTTTTTTGGGGATACGGCAATGCTAGGGAAGTGCCTCCCAATGCCTGACATTCCAGTAATGAGTCACGTTGACTCACTCCAGAAGCACTGGTCACTATTTTGTAGTACCTCCCATCTTCAGCCTGAGAGAAGCCGGCTGGAATCTCTTCAGCTGCAGGCTGGTCTGTATGGTACAAGGATGAGAGTAATGAAAAATGCTTCATAAAATCATTGCATGTTTAGTGAATAAATTGAAATGTTTTAGATATAATATTGCTACAATGAATCAATTAGGACCGCCAAGAAAAGTTCAACTTTTGCTGTCCTTGAACTGCAAGGATTTCCATTCCCCAAAATCAATAATTTCTTGAACAAGATATATTATCATCTAATTGCTCTAAAATTGTCAACAGGCAACAAATTCAGCTCCTCTTATGCTAACAAAATTCAAGAATCAACATTGCTCATGCTGGCAAGGCTCAAGATTGGAATTACAGCAGTGCACTGAGGAATCCTGTTTCCACTGACCTCATTGTAAAAATTATTCTTCACATTTGTTCAGGCAGTAGCTGTTTGCTTCTAATGATTTTTCAGTAAATTTTAAGGTTCTCCAAAGTTCTCAAAATCTCTAAAACAAAACCTGAAATACCAAAGAACTAGGAATACAGTCTTAAATAAATAAAATATTCCTGGATATTTACTGACCTGAAATCTTGATATATTTTTATATTGAATTGTTTTCAGATATTACTGGTAGCTTTGTTGTGATTAAATTGTACAATATTGAATGAAAATTACAATGAACTCACAATAATAAAGTTTGGCAGATGCTTTTGCAGTCCAATATATGTCTCCATGTGTAGGCAATTTGCACAGAACCTGACCATTTGACATTTGTTCAGTGCTGTAGCCTCGACATTGGCCAATATTTTGCTGCTTGCACATCCGGGCACATTCTGAATTTGTTGGCAACATTATGCTCAACCCCGGATTTTCCAGCTCAGCATTGAGTAAAAACTTGTGAGTGTTTGTGGATAATAGGCAAATTCCTGATATCGCGCTTGTACATGTGATTCCGCTGGTATGCCAAGCGTAAATGCCAGTATTTGACATTATCATCACAATGCAGTCGTTGTTTTGAATGGTGGGCAATTTGTTTCCAAACCACACCTGGTCTGGATCAGTCAGTGATGGGGTTATGCTGATTCCCACTATTTTTTCAAATAAGAAGGAGTTGATCAATTTTCATGTGCTTTAAAATTCCGCATAGAATGGTAAAATGAGCAAGAAGAACGTGTTGTCCATGAAGGTGTTCCCAACCTTTTTGGGCTCCAGGACCAGCAAATTTTGATGAAATCCTTTGCAGACTGTCACATTCTCATAAAATTTTTTCGGAGGGCACTGTTCTGTACAATTTTTGATGACCAGGAGAAAATTTTAAAATTCCTGCCATACACAGGCCTCAGAAATGAAATTTTCTTGCAAATATTAACTTGAGAACATGTGAAGCAGATAAAAAGTGGAAATGTTAAAAAAAAATAGGATGCTGGGCTTGAAGAAATATTTCTCAGGTTGAAAACAAAGAGTAAGATATTTCAGCAGATGAACCTACTGTATGTCTGAATTGCAATAAGGAAAAAATCCAACACTTTAGTTTTCATGAGATAATTTCCACTGACATTGTCTCCAAAACTTTGGATTGCAATAACAGAATTGAATAATACTTTACTAATTTAGTTATTTTGAAGGAATTTTTCTGGGGATTTAAAAAAAGCTTCAACAGACTGGTGCTGGTATGCAGACCACAGGTTTGGGGAACACTGGTCTACCCAGCAAATAATTTGTTACAGGTATTGCTGCGCATAACAGTTACGCATTAAAAAATGCATTTGTTATGCATCACTGTTATGCCCAGCTTCTTCTGAAATGCCTTGACTGTCTGTTACAGTGCCAAAAACTGTTCATTACAACTTTTCCTTCTTTGTAACATGGAGCATTTTGTAACACCAGCCTGTTACATTCTTTAAAAGTTATTTTTTATTTTTAACAGTATTTTTAACATCAAAATTTATATTTTGTGGTTTTGTATTATTGCAACAAACTGATGCAACAAACAGAAAAATCTGCAACATTGTGTTTGTCGCATCAGTTTGTACACAATGTTCTCTGTCACCAGTATAATACTGTATAATACTCTGTTGCCAGTATAATACTCTGTCGCCAGTATTATAATGGCAGTATAATACTGGCAACAGAGTAAGCTACTGCCAGTATAATACTGGCGGTAGGGTACTCAACCCTACCGCCAGTATTATACTGGCGATAGAGTAAGCTACACAATGTTCTCTGTCACCAGTATAATACTGGCGGTAGGGTTGAGTACCCTACCGCCAGTATTATACTGGCAGTAGCTTACTCTGTTGCCAGTATTATACTGCCATTATAATACTGGCGACAGAGTATTATACTGGCAACAGAGTATTATACAGTATTATACTGGCGACAGAGAACATTGTGTACAAACTGATGCGACAAACACAATGTTGCAGATTTTTCTGTTTTTTGCATCAGTTTGTTGCAATAATACAAAACCACAAAATATAAATTTTGATGTTAAAAATACTGTTAAAAATAAAAAATAACTTTTAAAGAATGTAACAGGCTGGTGTTACAAAATGCTCCATGTTACAAAGAAGGAAAAGTTGTAATGAACAGTTTTTGGCACTGTAACAGACAGGCATTTTGAAATGACTATCTGTTACAATCCCAAAAAACTGATTTCTACAGATTTCCCTTGGTTGTAACAGGCAGGCGTTTTAAAATGCCTTTCTGTTACAATGCTAAAAACTGTTTATTTCAGATTTTCCCTGGTTGTAACACAGAGCGTTTCAAAATGCTCCATGTTACACCCAGGAAAATCTGAAAAAATATAAATTCTTGAGTGTAGCAGGCAGGCGTTTTGAAACGCCTGCCTGCTACACTCAAGAAAAGCTCATCAAAAATGTTTAAAGTATAGGNCTGCATTATAATCAATCCTATCCAGGCGTAACTTGAGTTACGCCTGGATAAATACCTAGCTGTAACTAGAGGGCGTTTTAAAACGCCTATAAGGTATGCATTAACTAAAATCCTGAGTAGGCATAACATAGAGAGGTTAGAAATGCGTATAAAACGCATTTTGAAACGCCAAATTATTTGCTGGGTAGGAAGATATTTTGTTGCTCCAGACTCATTGCCGATTGAATGTTTTTTGCTGTATGTCTTGATTCAGTTATATGCATTCTGACTGATCCATGCATGACATAAACAGCAGTCATTCAAAATTAAAAATTCCCACTTTAAGCTAAGAAAGTCATTTTTGAGGTGGATAGAAAATTTTAATGCAAATATGTTTCCCTTTTAAAGCAGTGACAGAATAAGTGACTTGTAGAGAAGATCTGATTCGTGCCTAGAAGTTTGCACCCTCTTCACTTACTTATACCCTGAAGTTTGAGGCAGAAAACATGATAAATGGTATCACCAGGAAATTCTAAAAATGTTTCCTGGAAAAGTTTAAATATGGGAAACTCCAAAACTCCTTATCAATGTTTTTTTTTAATTCTTCTGACTTGTTCTTTGGGAGTTTGGAGTGTACTATTCTCAAAATTTCTTACAAGTTGAGTGATACATTCATTTTTATTCAATAAACGTTGTTGATCAAATGATCTTCAAAGGTATAAAAAATTGAAGGTCTACTCTGTCAATGTCTGAAAAAAAGGTGTTTGTTGAAAATATAAGATTATGCACAAAGGACAGGAAAATGTTCAGTGATATAAATCTCCATCCTCTCATCTGAAAAAGAAAAGTACTAATTGAAATTCATTTTTTGTTATTTCAGAGAACTGTTGAACTTTTTTCTATTTGGTCACTCAGCTCAGTTGGGTTTAAATAAGTTTTGCAGGTAATACCGAAATGCTATCATGCAGGCAAAAAATGTACAAAATCATGTACTCCCTGATACAAGTGGAAGGTACTTCCTCTACTAACAATTGAGCACAAAATACCATCAAAAACAATTATAGAAATCAATAAAATGGCCTCTACACTTCTCAAGTGACGTCTATGAAAAAAATTGAGCTTAATGGATGAATGCCCTTACATGCAGGTATGAACACCTTTCCATCCGCTGTTCCAAATCCAACAGCTGAAGTCCACCAGCCATTAATAAGTGAATCAGGAAATGCTTTGACATGCATAGCCTCTATAGCTGCTGCCCTCTTGCGGGGATACATTGGAGCAAGGGCTCCACCAAAAAACTCGCATTTCTTAATGAGGTCAGCAGTAATCAGAAGCTCGTCAACGGCATATGTCACCTTGTAGAAATTTCCATCTGTTACCAACTGAACCTCACTTAAGTAAGGTAAAGGCGGTTCTGAAAAAAGAAATACTGTAATATTTTTGTGCAACTCATGGAATATAAATATTTCTTCAAAAATGTATCATCATCCGAATTTGACCTCCTTTCTGAATTAGGCTTTACAAAAAAATCATCATCTTGATTTCTAAAATGAATTAAAATGGAAACTGTAATACTGTACATTATTTAGTTGACTGGAAATTTCCACTCCTAATGAACATTATTCAGTCAGTGACATACAAGAGAAAGGCTTGGTTATTTCTCAGATATTGAAAAAAAATATGCATGTGTCTATTCAACATTATCATGGGATATGATGATAGAATGTAAAAAGCAATTGCTCAAGTTTTAGTAACATCTCTCATTGGTTCCCAGTTTTATTTTTGAGTCAAAGGCATGCCTCAATTTGAATTTCTAACTGACAAAACCTACTTTACTTTAATGACAAATTCATGTTGCTCAAGTTGCTGGGATTTCGTTTATTGGACTTTTCCATATTCCTTTCAATATGTATACAGTCAGCTCTTTGCCAAACAGACCTTGCCTCTGGAGGTAGTACTTCCTCCTGCCTAATGGACAAAATCTGCCTAACAAAATTCTGTTGGATTAAAATGAATGGAAAAAAGTAAAAGAAAGTTGAATAATTGGATCCCCACAACTGATTTTTAACATAACAGACTAGTCTGTAGCAAAAATTAGGTCCGTTTCACAGGGGTAAAGTTTACATGTGATCAAAGCATAGCCTTTGATCAATTTCATCTTTTGAATTGATGCATGTGACATGAAATATTCCCGAAAATTTATGAATCAAGGTAAATCATCTGAAAACTTCAAATAAAAATGAAGGCTGTATTTTACTTTCATCAGAGCCTTACCTGTGATAAGTATGATCTTAAAACTGTTTTGAGTATTTGAACTATCCAGATTTTTATGATAAGATATACAGAACGATCTTGCATGTAAACTAACGGAATCAAGAAGCCTTTCATTCTTACCAAAGTACAAAGTTGTTTCATTGTTTTCTTTCCAGTAGGTATCCGCAGGAGGAGGGATCCTGCACAACATGCCCTTTTTCTGAGAGGTCTCAACTGGTGTCACACTGAATGATGTGCAAGATTCTGTACGTCCGCATGCAAGAGCACAGTCTCCAGCTGAATCAACAATTATGTCTTGGGCGGAGTTAATGAATTGTCCTGATTGGTTTTGCTTCTGGAATCCACTCAGGTGATCTGATGATTGGGGCACACAACTTTGAATTCAAGATTGCAACAAAAATGGAACTCTGCCAGGAAGATACTGTCATCATGCATGAACCAAACAACTCAACTCTGCTTTTGAACAATCAAGAACTTCTAACCATCATAACTGACATATAATCTTCTCACATTTTGAAGACATGAACAATGTTCCAGTAGTGCTGTTTGAATAATTTTCCTTGGAGGTTGAAGACGTTGGTAACATGCCAAGAAGGTAACATTCATAGGTGTTTCCTGCAAAGAAGCATAACAATTCCTTCAACTAAGGTTGATGAAGAAAAGGAATTTTGAGTGGAGTATTTTTGATTTTGTACCTGACCTACTCCAGTATAAATACAATTTAATTTTGGATTCCACTGAATTATACACAGAATTTTCTGTTTATGAACAGTTAGAACTTGAAAAATTATCTCCAAGATCTGGAAAATACAGTATTTCAATGAATGAAGACTGCCAACTTTTAGAAAAAAGAGTGATATTCTTTTCATTTTATCAAAACAATCACAAATCATTCATGAAACGGCCTTGATTGATTTGACAGGTATATTGAAGGGGACACCTGGAATATTTGTTCATCTTTTTGTGCTCAATTTTATTCAGTTTTCTGAATCACAAAAATCCAGAATGTAGGATTCCAGGATTCAAAACTCCAAATCAAACGCAATAAATCACAACACCATATTTGTGCACGAATCAGATTAAAATGATAATGCTATTAATTCACCAAGAGATCAGACTCAAGAGAGAGAATAATGCTAAAAATATCTTGGTGCAGAAGAAAATTTTCACTGGTTCTCTCTTCTTATTCTTCTATTCAACAAATGGCATTTGACCTGCTCTCATCCAAGGATTATAATAATTTTCAAGAGAATCACCTTGAAAAAGAAATGCACTGCAGTCATTGTTAAGCATACATTGAACAGCGCATTCCAAACTGGATCCTGTGGATAACACAGTTGGTTGTGGGCCGAGGATCATGGATGCACCTTGAGTAATTGAAAATAATTCTCCAAATGCGGATGCTGAGATAAACACGAGGAAAAGTAACACTGACAACTCCATGTTATGGATACCCATTTTCTGAAAGGAAATAGAAGTTGGAGTTTATAATGACTTTTATGAGGATTAAAAAATGAATGATGACCTTCAAATTTTAAAAATCTGATTATATGCATAACCTGGATGTGAATATAGTCCTGTTAAAATTTGTGTTGTATCACTTTCTCCGAATTTGGAAAGAAACGTTAAATCCCGCTTTGACACCAAAATTAGTCTCCCTTGATTCTCAAGGTTGATATCTCTGTTGAAAATGTTCCTTTTTAAATGATTTGTGAGTCATTTTTCTTCTAATTTTTGACCCGTTACGACGCAATTCGGAAGTACACATCATTGAATGACGGGTTTTCTCGAGAAAAATCAAGAATTATCTTTGGAAATCCCGTAAGAGAAGTACACAAATGCATTTCAACGTTTTGAACCTATATTTGCTGCGAAATAAACATTCTACCACCCTCCACTTTGAAACAGAATATGTTATTTTGAAAAGATTTAATGGCAAAATAATCCGCCAATTTTTAGTTCAACCGTGTCTGGAAATTGCTCAAATAATATAAGAAATCGAGCCGCAGTGTTATGAATGCCAGGTGAGCAGAAACTGCGACCAGTTTTTCGTCCCGAAAATCAATTCATTATGGCTTTAAAAAATAAAGAAGAAAGCTTAATGTTTTCCACTGTTGGTCCACTTTCGTTGATAAAGGAATTGCTGTTAAGCATGTTTTCTTTTAGTAAAGGGTGGTTCTCTTCGTTTTCTCTAGCTGACCCTGAGGATTGCGTGACTTCGATTTGCCAACTGATATATCACTGCATTCATTCGATGAGGCGTTTATTTTCGCAATAACATGAGTGAATGTTCGTTACAGTGTTTGTCATGCAAGTGGTATTCTCTCATGTGCTGGGGTACGAAAATGCACGACCGAATTTTCAGTTCACAATGTGAATTGTCTTCTGGTCTGAGGAACGAAGGGTTTGTCCCTTTTTTCCTCTGAACACCACCAAAATGACTACAATATACCACATTCAACCCAAAAGAAATCCAAAAAAATTTGGTCTAATTAAAAACCCTGGTATTCTCACTAAAAGATGAAGAACAGTGATACACCAAAATGCAGACACCCTGACATACGGAAAATTTATCTCGGGGTCACTTGAAAATGTAAAAAAAATTGGGCCAAACATCTTGACAATATGTCAACATGCAGACACTTTTTCAGCATATTTCAAAACTGGAACATTTTAATTTTATTACCATGTTTTTATGAACTCACTTTCTTGTCTGTCTGTCTGTCTGTCTGTCTGTTTGTCCGGATCAAATTTTGAAACTCAAATTTCACTCACTTCCTGACTAGCTATCAAGCTGAAACTTTCAGGATAGCTTAGAAACTGATGACAATGCAATCTTTTGTGAAAAAATTAATTTTAAGAATATTTTTTAAAAAGAATAAAATAATTATAGTAGATTTCTGTAATAAAACTTTGAGCAGGTTTTCCTTGGCCCCAAGAAAAAAACCCATGGTGAACTGAATTGGTCGCAGAGGTCCGAGTTCAATCCCACCCCCTGGAACATTTTTTTTTCTAATTAATTAACACGTTTTTATTAATTCACTTTCTTGTCTGTTTGTTTGTCCGGATCAAATTTTGAAACTCAAATTTCACTCACTTCCCGACTAGCTATCAAGCTGAAACTTTCAGGATAGCCTAGAAACTGATGACAATGCAATCTTTTGTGAAAAAATTAATTTTAAGAATATTTTTTAAAAAGAATAAAATAATTATAGTAGATTTCTATAATAAAACTTTGAGCAGGTTTTCCTTGGCCCCAAGAAAAAAACCCATGGTGAACTGAATTGGTCGCAGAGGTCCGAGTTCAATCCCACCCCCTGGAACATTTTTTTTTCTAATTAATTAACACGTTTTTATTAACTCACTTTCTTGTCTGTTTGTTTGTCCGGATCAAATTTTGAAACTCAAATTTCACTCACTTCCCGACTAGCTATCAAGCTGAAACTTTCAGGATAGCCTAGAAACTGATGACAATGCAATCTTTTGTGAAAAAATTAATTTTAAGAATATTTTTTAAAAAGAATAAAATAATTATAGTAGATTAAAAAATTAATCTAAAAAACCACGTTTTCAAAAAGCAAAAAATAACCTTAAACGTGGTGCGCATGGAGATTGTTGGGAAGAAGTGAAATACAAATGAAATAGATGCGCACCACATTTAAGGTTATTTTTTGCTTTTTGAAAACGTGGTTTTTTAGATTAATTTTTTAATCTACTATAATTATTTATAATTTTGAATATCTCTTGAAAAAATTGAGCTATGTATTTATGTTTACAGAAGTTTGAACTGAAAATCATTTTATATGTACTTGAAATTATGATAGAAAACAGGTTCATTTTGTGCTTATTATTTAGTTTTCTCTATCATCTGGGCTGCACAGGATAGCAAGACACAGACTTTTTTTATTATTTTTGATTCAGTTTCATGCCAGATAGGATCATATTCTGTGGGGGTTTCTTTTTTCTAAATAGCTATATCACCTGTTTCTTCAAGTTGAGAAGCACATCTTTTTGGATTGTTCAAGGATTTATTCCTAATTTTCCATGAACTGGAGAACCAATTAAATTTTTTCTAATTGAAGTCTACAGGAAAACCATGTCCAAAATGCAGATATTCCAGCATAGGGGCACTGTTAACGAACCAATTATGTCCACATTTTGAGGTCTCACTTTAGTGCCTCTTTGGATCATATTACATTCATTCAGATTTTTCATCACTCTACAATATAATCTCAAATTACAATAAAATTGACAGACCTGAATAAAAATTGAGTGAATATTTATGTCAGGCAGACCCAAATGGAATTTGGCATTAAACTTCTACTGCAGTTAACAGATAGACCAATTGGTTTAAAAATAATCTGTTGCGAAAATTCTTTTTTGCGTCGAAATTCTGATATTTCCTAGGCCCACGGTTGTATATATGAGCCCTAAAATTTTTTTCCACAATGATGTTCTATTGACAGTGTCCCTTTTTCAGAAAAATACCTCGCTGACGAGGTCATGCATTTTTTTTCAGTTCAGAAGCACGTTACAGTTCGTGACAAATTTCCATCCCGAATAATTATGTAAAGAACTGAGCAAACATAATCGCCTCTGTGACATGTCTGATCAGGGACAGGACAATCAAAAGCAAGGTAAAGATATGGTCATGATGAAATGAAGACAAGACTTTTCATTTACCATAATTTGATGATTTTTTTCATAATCATCATTGCACAATGAAATTACCAGCGCTCTCAAGGGAACTGGTTTTTTGTAAACCATTTTCTGGAATGAGTTTTATTTTATATCAAAGAATTTCTCCAGTTAAAATGTGTACATTGTAAGAAAATTTTTCCATCAAAAGCAAAATCAATGCTCCCGTATTACTTGTCTTAAAAAAGCATATTTTTAATGTTTTTCCAAATTGTCGTGAAAGCGAAATATGAGCCATTGTCGATACGGGTTGTATTCGATTTTTCATGATTGTATTCACCGGAGAAAAGAAAACAGCACTATAAGTAACAGCATGGACTGTTTGGAAAAAAGTTGTAAATGAATAATTGTATGCCAGCGTGATTAGTGCATTGATTTTGATAGGAATTTATGCATGTTGTAAATAAGACTCCAATTTGCGTATTAATTACATACGATTCCAAAAGTAACATCACAGTGATCATATTCTTGAAATGTTTATTGTGTTACGAGCTTCGAACTATGC